ATAGTGCTACTTACTAGTGGTTGATGTAAATCAAAGTGAAGCTGAACTGCAGCGTAAGCACGTTTCTTCTTTTCAACAACCACAGACGTTTGCATTTATGCGAGCATCTTGTTTGTTTTCGCACACATAGTGACTGTCACAGTGACAGCTGGCCACAACGTGTGTCAGCTCTCTGGGTTTGACACGACAGCGCCAACCACAAACACAGAGTGCGTGAGTTAGCGGGAACAATTCAGTACAATTCAATTTTATTTTTATAGCGCCAAATCACAACAAACAGTCGAGCCGCTTTATTGCAATATTACTGAGCTGGATCCTGCTGGAGGTTTCTTCCTTCCCACTGTCACCGAGTGCCAGCTCATAGGGGATCATCTGATTGTTGGGGTCTTCTCCAGGAGATAGACAGCCTCTCTACTTTTAAGAAAAATGTGGTCAGGGAAGCACACTGACTGTCGATCGACACATAAGGTTTTTATGTGTATACATCCATGTGTGTGTGTTTGTTTGTGTGTGTGTGGTCAGTTGTCACCGGTGTGGCTTGCCTCACAGTTCTTTATCAGGTCTTATCACGTCTGCAGACCTCACCACCTGCAAAGCATGTGTGGCCCATTGATGAGTCTCCTTTTCTGTTGTTTATCTCTAATCTGTGTTTTTCATATTTATTGACGCTGTAAGACTGTAAAGGTGCAATAAGTGAGTCATTATGTAGCCTGAACGTGCTGCCTATCATTACTGAAGTTTGCCAGTCAATCAAGCAGTGCAGAATATTGCCAGCTAATTAAGATAAGGGAACATGTATATAATAAACTGTTTCCATTCAAAGTGGCCAGCAGCACGGCTTGCATGCTGCTAGCTTGTTTTTAATCAGAGGATTGTCTATTAAAACATTGCTGACCTGTTGGCACCTATGTGTGACTGTGGTGTGTCTGTGTGTGTGTGTGGCATACTTACGCAGAATGTGTTTTTTCCATGCCGTCGGCTGCCTGCGACACACCCTTCCCACAGTCCAGCCCATCCTCTGCATGTGTGTGATCCCATGTTAGCAGCTGGTGGGCTCTATAAATAGCCTGGCCTGAGATGTCTCTGGAAAACCAAAGGAAACAAACACCTTGTGAAATCTTTAAAAATGTAAATACTTGTTCTTGCATTATTTCTTGGCCAAAAGGTCATAATGAACGTAGAATTGTTACACCGTGTCGATTACGATTGGCTATCCGTCAGTGCATGGCCAATGTGAGATTTGCCCTTCAAATTCTATAAGGTTTTATGTCATGGTCCATCACTTTTAGACCCAGTGCCAGGCTCCCACAGCGCTCTTTGGTGTTACTGCTCATATGCCGCTTACAATGTTTAAGAAGCTAACAATTTGTAAAGATCTACCTGTTTTACCATAAGGGAAAACAATCAAATATTGTGTCTACACCTATTATGTATGCTTAGGCAGTTATTTGATGATGCCACTAGGCCTCTCTGGTATAATGTCTTCACTTGACACTGGACGTGTACAAAACCATCAAGCAATCAAAGTCGAAAATCAGTTCCTAAAAGATAACTTCATATATTCTCTATATTTTATTGCATCTGTGCAGGATATGTGTATTCAAGCATACCAGGTGATGGATTTCTTGCAGCAAGTGAGATAACATTGTCTTCCCAGAGACACACTGAGAAGCAGGTGCTGAAAACTTTAGAGAAATAAACACACTGGCTAGCAGCTACTCTAGCAGCTAGTCTGTTAGTGCTGTGCTGAATGAGCACTTCCATTCCAGCACATTACAGCAGTCTGATAAAGAGCAGCTGCTGTGTAATTTCACTGCCCTGCAGAGTGACGTTAATGTGTGTCTACACTTGTGTGTTTGTTTTGTTTTATCCGTGCCGCCGATGATTCCCTTACAATCCCTGGAGCCCCAATCTAGCAGTTACTCGGTTGCTTTGAAGTAGCCCACCCCCATGTTGCTTCCCATTGTGAGTTATTTGTCCGTGTGCGGTTGGAAATGACCTCCAGTCTGGTTAGCAGGCATCCAGAACTCGCTTGTCCGCACCCCGCTCTGACTGACTGTGCATCTTCATGTATGCGAGAAGAGTTTAAGTGCCTGAGAAGTGATCTCATGCAAGCCTGAGAGTGACAGGGCACCTGTGGTCGGACCTCACCGTGAACCCGAAAACACATATGACACACTCATGTGCTCAGTATGGACTAGCAAAGCTGTGCAATGCGACCCATCTCCCTTCGTAGCTTCAACAGTATTATCCCCCACCACCAAATTTCATCTGGCCCCACCACCTGTTGCCTGCTGTATTTCACTCAGGCCCAGATTCTTCTGTTTCCCTTCATAAGCAACAGTGCTTACAGCTCTGCAAGAAGTAGGCATGACCCTGGGGGCGGCAATCCTAGACTAATCTAATTACTCAGAGTCAAGGCTTGAGATTGAGATTGAGTCTACACCAACTTGAAATTTCTTAACTCAATCTAGCAGAAAAAGTGTTACACAGTAAACAAGTCAAGCTGTCAAGCAGTAGTGCAGATTAGGGAATGGGTCCAGACAATGTGGCTTAAAGGTACTCCATGTAGCTGAGACATACTTAATAGTGGCTCCCAGGCACAATAACCTGAGAAATTACAAATTATTCATTTTGCTTTTGAAAAAAGTTTTGTGAACTTCTCATTGAAGAACTATTAAAAGTTCCTGAAGGGCAGAGTTTTTAGCTGCGCATTAATTAGCTGGCTAACTATTGCTAATAAAATTAGCCATGGATGACTGTCACTTTATCTGATGAAAAAAATACAATGCCTGTTTTCATCCCGCCCCACGGTTTATA